ACGTTGAATTATGACTTACTTTGTGTTCCGTCATAACCAACGGTAAATCGGGTCTCCCCCGTCATCTCCAGATGTTATGGCTCCACCACGTGATAGTGAGAACTGTCTATTTCTTTATCGAATAAAAACCACGTATCGTATTTATATTTGTACATTTGTATATTTATACATATGTATGTTTATATTGGACTTGCAGCTCAACTAATTCACTGTTTTGACTCACTAGGCGTAGGCCTAACACTTTTTCTTGATCTGGTTGTTTGTTAGGTTTCGTTAGCAGGGGGGCTAATAAGGGTTGAGAGGATCGTCATAATTGAAAAGTCTTTTTGGATAAGGTATTTGGTGATTTGAGCGTTACAACACTCGAGGATACTTTTGTTGGAGTTGGTAAAAACACCCGTCCTTAATCTGGGCATGAAATTGTTTAGATTAATAGGTTGTTAATTATCGCCCCATTAGTTGTTTCAGAAACGCTTTACGTTTCCCCATGTATTGGGTGAATTTTTGTTAAACTCTAGACTTGCCTTGTGTTTTTGAGTTAAATTTACCTCCTAACTTATTTTTTCTGTTAGGGTGTTACACTACATTCATAAATTTCTTTATTATAGCATTGTGCTTCTAGTTTTTCTTATTACAACAATGTACTTTCAAACTATTTTTTATTAGAATATTGTACTTTGAAAATTTTACCCATTATAGCATTGGGTAACCTTTTGATTTAAGTTTACCCATTTTACCAGGTTTTCCATGCCACCTCATTGTCCATGTAAGTTGTCCACATATACTATAGTGATATGACTTTCTTATTAATACATTGTACTTTCAAAATTATTTTATTATAACATCTACTAGTTCTTATTAAACAATGTACTTTTAATTTTAATATTTAGATATTTTATATATTGTTTAATAAATGGGCAAATTGCATGAAAAAGTAACGTACTTTAACTTGATTCCTATTTTGGGTAACGTACTTTCAAAATTTCTATTTTGGTACCTAAGATGTAAAGTTTTAAATATTTAAGTACCTGGGTAACCCGGTGAAAACTAATTTTAGACTAAAAAAAGACTAATTTTAGATTTAAAAAAATCCACGTCACTAACCACGTCAGCAAATAATACTGAGTTGGATACCACATCACTAGCCACATCAGCATGATAATCGGTTAATACTTCAACCAGTTACCCGGGTAGTTAAATGTTTAAAACTTTACATCTTAGGTACCAAAATGAAAGTTTGGAAAATACGTTACCCAAAATAGGAATCAAGTTAAAGTACGTTACTTTTTCATGCAATTTGCCCTTAATAAATATATTAAATGAATTAAAAAAAATTCTAAATTCATTGATATAAAAATATTAATAAAACTAGTATAAGACAACTTATCTCGCTAATATTTTTAAAAAATGTGTTTTTGTGAAAAAGGAAAATAAAAATTGTTTCTTTTTTACCCAAAAAAAATATTATCTTTTAAATAATATATTATATTTGTTCAAAAACTTTTACTTGACGTATAAATACATTAAATTAATTAGTTTTTTTCGAATTATTTAACAATATTAAAAAATTGTAGAACACAATTTATTTCGTTAACATTTTAGAGAGAACTTTAAAAGATATGTATTTTTTTGAACAACATAAAATAAGAAGTGTTACATTTTTTACAAACAAAATATATCTAAAAAATAATACAGCATATTTATTTAAAAATATTTTATTTTAGAATATTTAATTTGTATGCAACTTAATAAGAAAAAGTCAAAAAAAATTAAATGTATTTTTTTAAATCATAGCAATGAAAAATGAAAATTACTAATAATAATTTGAAATATGTTTTTATTTTTATTTTAATTAAGTCATCAAAATGATGTGTCATCCACATCATCTCATTAAAGCCACACAAGCAAAAAAAAAAGTCAATGGATTAACCGGTTTAAAAGGTATCAGGTTACCCATTGCTATAATGAGTAGATTTTTTAAAATGTGACGCTTTAATTAAAAATAATTTGAAACTGCATTGCTGTAATAAATAAAAACAAAAGTAGAATGCTATAATAAGAAAATTTGTAAAAGTAGGTTGTCATTTCATGCATTTAACCCTTTTTAATAAACCACATGAAACAAAAAATGTATGACCTGTTTGTTAGCAACTTAATAAGTTTAACAAGACTCAACTTATTCGATCAATTATACATGATTGCTTGATAGTTGTTTGATGAAATATAAAATGGCTTCTTTAATTAAGCTTGTAGAATACGTTTTATTTTGAAAACTAAGTTTTTTTTTTTTTTTCCAAAAAACCTCTCCTAGTTAAAAAAAACGTCCTACAATCTATAAAAAGAACCAACCCAAACAACAACCTTCCCAAACTGCATAAACATATTAATCCATAGATGAAAAACTTTAATAAAAACCAACCAAAGAACTCATACTCTACTATGTTTAATAAACAACAATTAAATCGAAAGTTTATTTGTAGAGTTGGGTCCGATGAAACATAGACGGACCCAGCTACATGGTATATGTGACACGTGCCACCGTATTATTTCTCCGTCGAAGGGTAAAAAAAATTAGGTTTCGTGAACGGTGCAACCGTATTACTTTGTTATGTGTCACCGTATTTATTTTGAAACTACAATGAGAACAAGTTTTATTTGTAGAGTTGGTTTGCAAGGCTTTTATTCCACCCAGACCCAAGTTCGAATCCTGTTAGTATCATTTTCTTAGTCAAATGATGTTATCGTTTGAAAAAAAATTATGTATATTTGTTTCTTATAGTCAATCGGTGCTACCGTTTGAAAAAATTTCCCTATATTTTTTTTATGGTTAAATGGTGCCACAATTTGAAATTTTTTTTGGGTCAGTCCCTGCAATAAAAATAAGAGTTAAAGATAAAAATCGTAAGAAAGATCTAACTCTTAAATGTACACTAGAATGAAATACATCAAAATAAAATACGTCAAAATATTCTAAATCAATCCCCATATCAAACATGATTTATTCATCTTAAAATATTCAAGGTCGAGATGCCTTTTATCACACGCATTATTTGTAATATGGACCTATGGGTGCTATCACAAGGTCGATTATGCCTTTATCACACGCATTATTTGTAATATGGACATATGGGGTCAAGTGGATTGTGAAGCCAGCAAGACAAGCCTCGTGTCTCCTCTTACTGCCCCATGTGATGTCTTGCTTCGTTCATCATCCCCTCGTTTTCTACTCTTCAAATCTTCTTCACGATTTTCAGTTTTCAATTCAACCAACAGAAGACACCCATTTTCAAGTAGCAGAAAGAGGAGGAACGAATTCCATAGCACAAAGGTAATCATCGTCTTTACATTCCATCTTCGATTTCTATAACCTTTAGATCATATGCAGATTTCACAATCCAACATAATTTCAATTTAGTTTGCAGATCACAATTGGGTATCCTTAGTTTCCTCATCTGTTTTGTGTTTCTTGCATCATAACTTGCTTCCTTAAGCTTGCGATCTTTATAATTTAGGTTTTTACTCATTGTATAGAAGTCCTACAGAAAAACTTCACATTTTGCACCCTTGATCTTGTTCTAATCTCTCGTATTCGAATCTAGTGTATTTACCTTGTTCTGATGATCTCGATTCATATTGGTATGAGGATTTCTACTTCAATTCGGTTCAGAACTAATGTTAATTTGCGCATGTGCCAAGGGTTTAGGCAATTGAGCTATTTTATAAAAAGATATCACATAACTATTTTAAGGAAAGTTCTGTTTACATCCTACCATCTTCCTTTTGAATTGGGTGACCGTGTTTGTTTGGTTTGATTTATACAAGGACACAGTTGTTTGAATCTGATGTGGTTTAATCAGTCTTTTCATAGTTCATTTTGGTGGCTGAGTTTGCTTGTTAAGCTATGTTTGGCAAATTAGTTGATAAACTAGTTGTTTGCCGATAAGCTCGAGGACAAAGGTAAAATGACTACAACATTCACGAATACCAAAATTTCTTTAACTATTTGGAAACTTTTGATCGTTCAAGATCGTACACTGCCCAAGATGCATCAATAACAAATGTTTCTTAGGTGGATTTGGCAAATTCATCTATTTCATTCAATTATTCATATAAATTGGGTTCCTCATACATTTTGCAGGGTTTGTCACTTCTCTTTCAGCATCAAAGAGGGCTTTAGAGGCCCCTGAAAAGCAGCAAATCCGTGGACCTACATGGAATACCAGGCTAATTATTCGATTTGGGATGGGGTATACTACCACCCACATCTTTTCGGTGGCATTATGCTAACGGCCGCGCTTCTCGGTTTTTCAACAAGTTATTTTAGCGGTATGGCCAGTTTTCCTACTTTGCCATACATGTTGCCTTATTTGGGAAATCTTCAGAAGCAAAAAGGCAGCAAGAAACATATTCGTGTTTACATGGATGGGTGTTTTGATCTTATGCATTACGGGCACGCAAATGCTTTGCGACAAGCTAAGGCTTTGGGCGATGAGTTGGTGGTTGGACTTGTAAGTGATGAAGAAATCATAAACAACAAAGGTCCTCCGGTTTTATCTATGGAAGAGAGGTATGCTCTCTCACAAACACGGAAACATATTATATTATATAATACGCCTGTAGAACAGAGATTAGACATATTTTTATGCTGGGTGCTTTCCCTTACGTTGTGGCAATCGCAAGGTTTTCTTATTGTGTTTATTGACTGAGAGCAAGAACCCCCAAGTTTAAATTTTTCATTGAAACAACCGCTCTACTTTTTGGAGTAGAGGTCAGGTTTGCATGCATCTCACCCCCAGACCCTATGCCATATGGAGATAGTCGCGTTAATGTGGTGCTAAAATCTTTGAAGGCTGGCACTTGTTAGCGGATTAAAGTGGGTCGATGAAGTCATTGCTAATGCACCATATGCGATTACCGAAGAGTTCATGAACCGTCTTTTTAACGAGCATAAGATTGATTATATCATACATGGGGATGATCCTTGCCTACTTCCTGATGGAAGTGACGCATATGCTCTGGCAAAGAAAGTTGGTCGTTACAAGCAGATCAAACGCACGGAAGGAGTCTCAAGCACAGACATTGTAGGTACTGTACCTAACTTCATATACATATATATTTATATAAAATAGGATCACTTGAGAAATCACAATTTGGTAAATGTAGGAAGGTTATAAAGAACTGTTAAGCAGACTTTTGTATGGAAATGTTAACATAAGCTAAAATTAAATTAACATAAATCACGAGATGTTAATGTGTGTTAATGTACATTATCGTATCAACTTATGTGAACTTCTACTAAAAAATGCTTCCTACGTTTCTCACCAATATTTGATTTCTCACCGGAACCAAACCATGTGTGTGTGTGTGTATATATATATGATGTTACTAAAGGGGCTGAACCTACAACTAAATGTGTAGAATTCCATGATAGTAGTTTTTGCAGTTCATGATTGCAAGATTAAAGTTTTCAGGGATCCACTCTTTAACATCTTCACTTGCAATGCAGGAAGGATTCTCGCGTCTATGGAGGATATAGAAGTTAATAGAGAACGTAATGGAATGAAGAGTAATCTGGATAACCATAGCCAATCTAAACATGCTTCTAACTTTTTGCCTACGTCAAGAAGAATTGTGCAATTTTCAAATGGCAAGGTATGTCCTTTAGATTATGTTTATACCTTTGGGGGAACTTGTATGAACAGTTGAATGGCATATTTGGAAACAGCCTCTCTACTCCTTGGAGTAGAGGTAAGGTCTGCGTTCTTCTTACCCTCCCCATACCCTACTTCGTATGGGATTCACTGGGTTTGGTTTGGTTTGGTTTGGTTTGATTTATTTGATAATTGGGATGCTATACTTATGAGTTGGTTTGTAACAAATTTCACGTATATCATATTTGTCTAAAGAAACCTTGTGTTCTGTATCAGGGGCCTGGACCAAATGCTCGTGTGGTGTACATTGATGGAGCATTTGATCTTTTTCATGCTGGGCATGTTGAGGTATGCAGCCTCTTGGTTTTAGACATGTGTTACTGGCGTATTAATATGCAGCATCACGGATATAGTCGCTGTGTTTGACGGTGATTATTAACGAGACATGAGTTTTGTGTTCATAGATTCTAAAGAGTGCACGCCAGCTTGGAGATTTTCTACTAGTGGGCATCTATACCGATCAAACTGTTAGGTATTTTCTCGAGCATCTTGATGTTGATACCAGTAAAACCAAACCAAACAAACCCAATATATCCCACATGAAAGTAGGTGCTCGGAGTGGTGGGATGTAAGCAATCTAACCTCTACCCCAAAGGGTAGAATAGCATATTGATGATGGAATTGAATGGTAAAAACGTTGTCTCATTGATGACTAAAAACAGCTTGGTTTGGTTTGATGCAGCCAACACCGAGGGTCTCATTTCCCACTAATGCATCTGCACGAACGCAGTCTCAGTGTTCTGGCCTGTCGATATGTCGATGAAGTCATCATTGGTGCTCCATGGAAAATCACAAACGACATGGTATTGCATTTCCCCTTTCTTATCTACTTGCTTGGACTTTTAACGGTATCTGAAAATTTGGTATTCTATTCACGTTGGCCAGATCACGACTTTTAACATCTCCTTGGTCGTGCATGGAACCGTTTCCGAGAGCGACTCTTCTCTCAACGTAAGACGCCTTTTATCTGGTTGCAGTTTTCTTAACCTAGTACCCAGAAGACTAATATACCCTTCTATTCGTTACTGCAGGGCTTTGTAGATCCTTACAAGGTTCCGAAAAATATGGACATTTTCAAGACAATTGAAAGCCCGAAAAACATCACCACCACTTCCGTGGCGCAAAGAATAAAAGCCAATTATGAGATATACGAGGTATATTTAGATTTAACACTATGAATGGAAGCATCACTATGTGTACTATGTGCATGTTTAAAAGTCCATCACAAGGTTTAAAAAATAGCCTAGCATAAGGGCGTTTAGTTAAATAACCTTAAATAATGAGACCTCATATTTTTTTCATCTGCCTCAGGTGCTAAATAGTCTTGCCTCTAGTGTAAAACAACATGCCTCCATAAGAACTTTAAAATACAGTAGAGGGTTAGATTCTTAAAGTCAGTAAGCTAAATAGGACCTCCCTCATAGGGGACTGCTTGGGATTTTTAGGTATATAACCTTAAATCCAGGTCATTTAGGGATATGACCTTAAATGAGTTTATAATAAAATTTATGACCTCCTTGATCTATTAAAGAAAAAATGGTTTTATACTCATGAGAAGGTCATGGATTTAATTAAAATCTCACTTAAGGTTATAGGCGAAGGATCGTGTGAGAAGGAGAGTTAAGGTGCGAAGCTTAAGAAGGGATCTGGACCCTTGATCACCTTTAATCTCAAACCCACCCATGAATCCCGCTTGATATGGGGATTAATCCAGTGCATCTCATCCTAATGTGCATCCAAGGGTGGAGATCCCTTCTTACACTTTCTCACTTTAACTCTCCCTTCTCACCGAAACCCAACCCGTAGGTTATATACCTAAAAATCCCGTAAAAAGCCTTTTTTCTTTAATAGGCGAGGAGGTCATGGATTTAATTAAAAACTCATTTAAGGTCAATATCCCTAAATGACCCGAGACTGTTTTTGTTTTGGGGCTCTTTTCTTGGATGCATTTTACAGGGACTGATGTACCTTAACTTTGCAGAAGCGAAATGCGAAGAAGGAAGCTAGTGAGAAGAAATTTTACGAAGATAGGAAGTATATTTCTGGGGACTAATCTATTCTTTTGTCAAATATGGTGTGAAGATGGAGATAATAGATGCCAATATTGTTTTACTATACTTTTTTGAGCGTTAGAAAGAATATAGATCTAGGTCAGAAATTGCCTTAGCTTTTGTAACATCTTCTTTGAGAGATTTTAGATGCTAACCCCATCCTGATCTTTGTGAACATATAACTAATCAGATCTTCATCTTTCTATTGTGTAAACAATCATTTACATCAAATGGTTTTCTACTGGTTTCTTGAACATTAATACATCGGTGACTAGCCGCTTGCTTGTTATTGGTGCATCTGTTGGGTTACTTGCAACCCATTTTGATTCTTGAACATCGTTTTCTTTCTGTGGGTGCACCTCGACTAATCCCATGGAGCGTATTTTCTAGTGTCCTCTGATAGCTACAAGTCAATTAGCCAAGTACCCTCCTCAGAGAACAGCTCTGATTCATGTATTATATTCACTATGTGTGAAAACTGAATGAGAATTACATCATCAAGGCATGGTATAAATCCAACCAAAGAGAAAGACCCACTCTAACAGAAAAAGCAAGAACCAATCCCTGTTTCAGTTACTGGGGGTAGCACACTTGAAGTCACATGGTTCCCTATCTTTTTCTTCAACAAGGAGACATGAAATACATTATGGATTCTTGAATCCAAGGGAAGATTCAATTTATAAGCCACCTATCCTAGCTTCTGAATTGCTTCAAACGGCCCAAAGTATTAGGCAGCGAGCTTGTGAAACGCCCTTCGGTTGACTTTTGTTGCCTATAAGGCTACAATTTGAGGTACACCCAGTCTCCCACTTGTAATATTCTTTCCTTACGATGTTGAACATGTGATTTTGTCCTCTGTTGTGCCTTGGCCGTATTATCTTTGAGCAGATGCAATTGTCTCTCCCCTTCTTGCAGCTCTGCATCCACTGCTTGGCTACTTAAGTCCTTGGGGTGGTAATGGATTGGAGGACTCTGCCCAAATAAAGCCTCATAAGGAGACATGCCCAAATTTGAATGATGTGAAGTGTTGCACCACATTTGAGCTAGTGACAACCATTTAATCCATGATTTAGGTGCCTCCAAGGGGAAACAACGTAAATAGGCTTCTAAGCATGGATTTACAACCTCTGTTTGCCCATCCAACTATGGTTGGTAAGCTGTGGAGTACGCCAATCGATTCTTATGAGCCTGAAAAAGTTCCCTCTAAAAGGTTCCAAGGAAGATTGGTCCATGTCGGATATGATCTTGTCTGGCAGTGTCGTATTTGCATTGTTGACAAATATGAGGATATCCACCACAGCTTGTAGCCTACCATCAATGCTCAGACTGGGTAAAATTCTGGCTTTCCGGTTTGAAAAGGTACTAGAAATGGGCAGACAAGAAGATAAAGAGGATTCATTAGGTCTTCTTGAAAGAGCTTTTGCTACGTGGGTGGTTGTTACTCCCATTATTATAACTACCAAGTAATTTACTCGGCCTTTTTTGAAGAGCGGGATGACATTCCTGTGCTGGAGAGCTTGGTGATTCGTTTTGATGATGAAAGGTCGTCCCAACAAGTCCCCCTTCCAACAATTGTAACAATTCCTTTTCCTCATATTCCTTCGTTTGGGATGAATGGGGTTGAGGTTTAGTGGCAGATGGTTGATAGGATTCCTCCATGATATGAGGAATTTCTTTAGGAGCTGGTGAATTGGAGTGATGAAACTGCTACTTTTGCCAATTTCATTAACTGGGTTCCAATCCCACCCCCCCCCCCAAAAATGCATAATCTTTGGTAGCTTGATTCAAGGTTTTTGATTTCATATAATATATAAATCCACTTGATTGATTGATTGTTCAGAGCATTAAGTTGTAATCACTAACTCTGCTCTCTGGTGGTGAGTTTTAAGTATTTTTTTTTTATTAACTTCAATTATTATATATTCTGTAAATAATATTTCATTATGTAGGTTTAATTAACTATAATATTTCATAATGGGTTATATTATTCTTAATAAGTTTGAGTTGATCATAATGGGTTATATTATTCTTAATAAGTTTGAGTTCATCATAATGGGTTATATTATTCTTTAACAAGTTTGAGTTGATCATAATGGGTCTAAATCAATCTGAACACACCTTAATGGGTCGAAGTTATGTTTAAACTGTTCATGGTGCTCCTTAATGACTCGATAATACGTCTTTTTTGTCTAAGTGGGTCATGATGGGTCTAAATGGATCTGTTTTTGTCTTAGTGGGTCATGATGGGTCTAAATAGATCGTTTTTTTTGTCTAAATGAGCATATACACTTCATTTATTACACACTTTAGAGTAGACACCTTAAATTATAACCTAACACACATAGACTCATATGTTAATTATATATGTATGTACATATATTGAGTACCAACATATGTATGATAACTAGTTACAAGAATATATCATATATACATGGTAAAGTTACATTATCCAAAATACTCATTTTTAACTAATAAGATACTTTAATAAATCATTTAACTGCAAATTTTGCTATTTTCCGACAGATACCAAAAAAGATTGAAATTATTGTTATCTATTTTCGACATATTCTTGACGGATATGACCCACTCCGTTGAAAATCCGTCTAAGATGGAAACTAATTCTTTTTTAAAATACTAGTAATACAACTACGCCGGTAGGGATGACAAAAAAAAACCGAAACCGATGATGAAAACCGAAAATCAAAACTTTCGGGCCGCGTTCGGGGACGGGGAGGGGATCGGGGACAAAATCGAGGATTTTAACGGGGACGGGGATGGGGGTGGGGACGGTGATCATTGGCCCGACTCAGCCGGATATGTGTGTGTATATATATATATATATATATATATATAATCATTAAAAGGAAATAGTAACATTAAAAATTTGAAAGACTTTTATCCATTTTACCTCAACAGCCCAAATAAGGCTCACGAAAAAGTCTAGTTTATTTGTCTAATCATGAAATCGTGATTTTAGTTGTATGATGTTTGAATTTTTGTTTAGTTTATATTGTAATCTAATACATTGTTTGTAATTGGTTCGATTATGTTTGAGACATTTAAACATATGTCTTTAAAAAATTGTAATTTACTTTTAGTTGTGAAAATTAACATATTGTAATTCTTTTTAGATCAGTTTCGGGTTCGGTTATAACTAACGATGAACGGGAAAAAAGAGGATTTTTACCCTTAACGGGTTCCGCAACGGGAATAGGGGCCGTTACGGGGACGATTTTAGTTATCGGTTTCGGGGACGGGGATACCAATAACTGTCCCGAACCCGGCCCGTTGTCATTCCTACACGCCTGTTACTGTGCTAAGCATATCGATTTTGAAGCTAAGAGCTCGAAAGACAACCATGTTTCATGTTTTCTTCTATTATTGGTCACTCTTGATGCTAATTTTATGGTTTTGAGTGATATATTAATTCAAAGTTAATTAATATGTTCAAAAATGGAGGAGCAGAAGACCCAAGTCAACGATAGAGGCCATAAGGTATGTGAACTGGAATTGCTGGATTGCGAAATTTTCAATGTCGTAACATTTGTTGTTTCTAGATTCTAAAGACTAATGTAGGCATGGTGGGTTTTTTTCCCTAAACTTGTAATTTACAAAATGACATTCGGAATTATGTTTGAAGAAACTTGAAAATAAAATAATTTGTAAGAAATTCATTAAGATATTGTTGAAAACGTTCATATGGAGTGAGCTATCTTCTGCAACGATATTTTCATTTAAGAAATCTTGGAATGAGTCTTTATGTTGCCATGTCATGTCATGTGGAGTCTTAGTTGGACCATTTACAGAGTTATTAGAGTTTTTACATTATATTACTCAACTAATTCATTGTATGATGTCTTGTCATCGGCCGTCGAGAGTTTTTTTTTAAGTATATGCTATGATAGAACTGTAGTTGAACTCTCATCTTGAAAACCAAACTCAATCTAAACCGGCAAGCACTTTTGTTTTGGAAGAGGTCATAATTTTTTGAAGTCGTTGATAAATATAAATCATGCATTAAGATTTGTTTGCATAATATAGTCCCAACATATTGCCCAACCCCTGCAAGAATTTACATGTTTTAAATATATCAGGTTGCCATCTTGATTTATAATATTTGGCAGTCTTGGTTAGATATCGAAAATATTGAATTGAAGGTTTGAAGGCACTTAATTCTGCAACGTGCAACACCTGTAAAACACGAATAGTATTAACAATCGAAATGTGCCGGAAAGGAAAAAAAACTATATGATAGGTGCTTCTTCCTATGCATATTAATTCCATTGGACCCTGTTGTTTACCCAGAATATTACAAGAAACAATGAAATAATATTAACCCAATCCAAATAGCAAATCAGTCGGCTTCTATTGATTCAAAATATGTAATACAAAATATTGGTTTTGCCTTTGGCAGCGCTTCTAAATGATAAGTTGATAATACGATAATGAGTTGACCTACTTTAGAGACTAGGAAGCTATATATATATATATATATATATATATATATATATATATATATATA